TAGCAGATTCTCCTTTCTATGCAGGAGACCTGCATTCCTCCCCTGGCTGGTTCACCGCATGCTTGGCCTCCACCATCCACCAGCAGAGCCTTGTATGTGTGGCCGTAACAGGTTTCAGCAGAGCTTCTAGCCATGCAGACAACTTTGGAAAATCAGTCCCTGAACACGTTCTGGATCCACTAGGATCAGAGGCAGGCCTAGAATGGAGAGTGCTTTGTTCCATTTGCATGCGGTAACATGAGTGAAGGGGTCACTCAAGGGAAGCAAATAACCACCTCCCTCCCTCATTCTTTGCTGAGTTGGAACCCACTCACAGCTGGCCCTCCCCACCCCACCTGCAGGTTTCTAAGGCTGTGAATCACATTGCATAGATTGATCATCTTTTTCCTGCAGAGTCAATGGTGGATTCGAAGATCTAGAGAGATGAGACCTCTGGGTTAGCAGTGCTGCTCTGTGGCCTACACCACCACCACCCCCACCCCCAGCTCCCTTCACAGCTGTAAACTGATTAATGGGCTTGAATCAAGCTTGTGAAGAACTCCTACCAACCCCATGAACAACCCTCAGGACAGTCCACTGAAAGAGCTCATTTTATAGCTGAGTAAATTGCTCCTTGGGTGCAAGTATCTTAAAGCTTTTTCTTACATGAGTCATCTACGACTCGGTGGCACTTAACAACAACAACAACAATGAGAGAACCTGCTGGCCTAGTGGATGGAAAGTTAGGAAACCAAGTCCAAGGTGAGTGATTTTAATCTATGGCCCTCAGGCCTGGTTCAAATTGTTTTTCTGTCAAACATTGCTCTAGGTGGTATAGCACTGGTCTGTGCATTGCTGTACAGAGGTAACTTGTGGTTGCTGTGATGATAAACACTGTGACACTGATGTGCCAAACGTGGTAATGGGTACCCATGGTGGACAGTGTTTGGTGGAGCTTCCCAATTAAAACAAGCCTGGAAGCAGAAGTGGCATCCACTTCCGAAATGGCTTGCCTCTGGAAATTCTATGAACAGTGGTTAGGCCTTCCGTTCATAGGGTCGCTGTGAGTCCTCTACGACTCGATGGCACCTCACAACAACAACAGAGGCAGAAAGGTACAACAATTACCTAAGTCCACCCCTCAGCCTACACTTACTCCCATCCCCTAACCTTCACATGACCAAGGCTGAATCCTAAAGAAATAGTAGGTTTGGGGTGCTTTTTTAAAAGTGGTATCAAGAGCCCTGGACCAGGAGTCAGGAAATGGGGGTTCTAGTCACAGTTGTGTGTTCCTTCTGAAGGCATGAATTCTCTAAAATGAGGTAGGTTTTCAAACTGGGGGGCCAATCCTATCAGATTCTCTGTGGTATTGAAGCTGTCTAGCTCCAAAGCCTCACTTTTCAAACAGAAATTAATTTTGTAGCATGAGTTCTGGAAGTCACACACTATCAGATTCAGAACAATGTGGCTGGAAGCCCAAGTATTGCCTGACTGACAGTAATTCTTCCGGCTGCGGTGTTCTCCCAGGGTCCAGTGTTCAGCCCCGCCACAGAGAGGTCTTATGGGAAACCCAGCACTGTCTGGGAATGGCAGAAGGGGAAAAGCCTTTGTCATCTCTGTTTCCCAAACAGCATATCTCCGTGTTCATCATTTATTGAACAGGCAATTTATCACACAGAGGAAAATCTTAAAATATGCAAGCAGAATATCTACGTCCCTCCACGGTCGGTCCTCTCTGAGACAAACCCTGGTGTCTTTGCAGAGAGGAACTGAGCTTGGTGAAACAAATACAAATTTATTTACTTTTACAACCTCTGTTTGTCTGTTAAGTCTGTCAGCCTAAGAGGGCAATCTATTGCTGTGATGCTGGAAGTGACGAGGGCCATCCATGACAGAAAGGGCTTTCTGGAAGCATTTTCAGGAAAGAAGAAAAATCTACCTATGTACTTCTGAAGTGAATACTTGAAAGCCTGTTGCTCAAAACAGAATGTCATCTAATTCACTCACTTTAGACATGTCAACAGGAGGGCTCCATTGCTGAAGGAGGACATCACATTGGCTCAGGTAGAGGACAAGTGAGATCTGCCGAGATAGTTGGCCAAAAGGACCTAAATGATGCAGAGGACACACCAACAACTGTGAGGTCAACAGAGGGTACCTTGGGCATCATCCCTTCCTGCTCAACATGAGGTTGTCACGCACTGGCATTGACCCGGAACTAAAGCAACAACTTTTTGTAACTACAATCATGGCACTCCACCTTCCTTTCCAAACTGTAATACCCACTCTTGTTCTAGTTGTTGAGTACAATCGAGTCAGAACTGACCCAGAATTGCACAGAAGATGAAGAATGTCCATCTTTCTCCTGCAGAGAGGCTGGTGGATTTGAACCATATACCTTTGAATTGGTAGCACAACTCCTTACCATTAAGTCACCAGAACTCCCATCAATTCATTAACTAAGCAAACTGAGTTCCTAGTATGTGTGTGCAGGAGAGATCATATCCATGAACTCACAGGCAAAAATCCTTGTTCTCTGCATTCTCGCTACAAGAAGCTAGACAGCAGATGTAAAATAAAAGTTTCATGACTGAGCAAACTGGAGGGAGCTCTGGGGCCTGGAGAAGCTTCCAGACACTCAGTACCAACACTTCATGCTTGGCCCAGGTTCTGGGTGTGGTGAGAGGGCGATGTAGACCAAGCCAGATAGGATAAGGGGTGGCGATTGAGTCACCTGAGGCGGCCTGGACTTTTTCAATCTAAGAGTGTTGCAAATGCCTTGACGGTTTATTGCCCACATCACATTTCCGGAGATCACGACATGGGAATAATGCAGGGGCAAGGGTAACACAGAGGGTTAGATGAGGTGCAAGAAACCACTGTCCTCGCCCGGGGTGATGAGTCAGTCACCAAACCAATGGTGCAGCAGATATAGCCAAAGTGAAATCAAAGTAGTTAAGTAACCGGGAGGGGGGGCAGGGGAATCATAATCATACTACAGTGTGCTTAACAAGAGGGACTGACACAGGGACTGCAACAATGGAAGGGGATGGTGTGGAGGGCACAGAATGGGTCTCCTTCTGTTGCTCACAGGATAGTTGTGTGTCATAATTGACACAACATCACCTACAATATATTATAGCATGTGTACTTGGACTGATTCAGGCCATGGTCTTCTCACTTGCTATGCATCTGAGAGCTGGACTGTGACATGGATGAGAGAAGAATTGTATTGTGATGTTGAAGTATTGAATATCCCATGACTGCCAAAAGAACAGACAGACATGTCTTAGAGAAGGTACAGCCAGAGTGCTCATTGGAGGCAAAGATGACAAAGCTTTCTCTCATATACTTTGGGCTGTTGCTAGGAAAGGCTATTCCTTGGAGAGGGACATCATGCTTGCAAATGTGAAGGGACAGTAATGGAAATACCCTCAAACAGGTGTATTGACACAGCGATTGTTGCATTGGGCTTAAGCGTCAGAGATGAAGAGGATGGCAGAAGGTACAGGATAGGACAGAGTTCAGATCTGTTGTTTATGAGGTAATCTGGGTTTGCCGGGACACTAAATCTTGTGCCATTTGGGTTTCAAATGCCATAATGGAACAACTGTGCCACAAGTGTCCATTTCCTAAACCACATGCATGTGGAAACTCCATGAACTTGAAGAAACTATGATAGTTAGACTTCAGGCTTCAGGCGTGTGTGTGTGTGTGTGTGTGTGTGTGTGTGTGTGTGTGTAATCATCTCTATCTCTGTATCTAATCTCTGTATTTAAAAATCACTTGGGTGCTCGCTTCGGCAGCACATATACTAAAATTGGAACGATACAGAGAAGATTAGCATGGCCCCTGCGCAAGGATGACACACAAGTTCGTGAAGCATTCCATATTTTTATCACCTGAAAAAAAAAATCACGGGTCCAAGGGTCTAGTGTTATTTTATTTTGGAAGAACATTCTAAGTTGTACAGCACTCCTCGGTCAATTGCTGCACTGAGGTAATCCGGGTTTGCTTTGATGCTGAACCTTGTGCCATTGGGGCGTCAAAAGCCATAATAGATGCCCACAGTGGATAGTGTTTGGTGGAGCTTCCAGTTTAAGACAGACTTGGAAGCAGGAATGACGTCCAATTTCTAAACTCTGAAAAGTCTATGAACTTGGAGAAACGATAATTATAGAAAGGCGTTTTGTTTATAGGGTCTCTATGAGTCGTGCTAGAATAAACGGCTATCAACAACAAACAGCGTAAATCATACTTGACTCCAGCCTGGCACAAGGGCCCGGCCCTCGCCCTCTTCCCACCCACTCCCCCGCCTCTCCCGCACCAGCCTCGTTGCCATGGTGATCTCTTGGTAACGGCTCTACCCATGCTCTGCAGTGGGCCAGTGAGCTAGCTGCACAGGCCAGGCCCTCGTTGCTTTGGTGACCACCCGTGTAAACAACGAGCGGATCGTTCCACTCCCTTCGCACCTCCCATGAGGATAGACCACATCCCCTGCCGCCGCACGCCCATTCCGGCCCACAGTCGCGCTGCCTTGCAGGCCGCATGCGCGAGTCTCTGATAACCCCGCCCTCTCGCGACTCCCAAGCCCCGCCCACGTCACCGCCTACCCTACCGCCTTCCAGGCCGCTGCCCAAGCCCTGCCCACCAGCCACCCACTCGTCACCGCCTCGCCTCGAAGGTCACATGCGCGAGCCTCTAACCCCACCCCCGCCGCCAAGTCCCGCCAGCCGCCTGCTGCCCGCTCCTCCCGCGTGGGTATGTTGCCATGGTGATCAGCATTCGACCTTTGCTACTTCGCGTGGGGTCCAGAGTTCCCGGATCTGCTCTGGCCGCAGGTCAGTCCACGCGAGCCCCGCAGCGCCTTCCCAGAACCGGATACTGCCCGCGAGCTCTTGGCCTCGCGTTCACTCCAGCCCCGCGGCCGGGTCCATGGGGAGGGCGGCGCAGAGGCTTCCCCATTCGGCCTAGATCCGGCCGCCCCATAGGTTGGCGCGGTGGCATAAAGTCTTCCAGGGATGCGCGAAGCAAGATGGGGCGCGCGCAAGGGCTTCCAGGGGTGCGCGGTGCAGGATGGGCGCGCGCGCAAGGGCTCCCAGGGTTGCGCAGGGCAGGATGGCAGCGCCCTCCATTCCCTCTCCCCTGCGAGGCCAGGTCTGCACCTCCTTTTGTGCCAGGCTTCCTACTAAGCCACTGTGCATGAAAAGGACGTATCTTCTGGTCAGGAGAGTAGAAATCACTGCCTCAGGCGGAGCTAAGCGGGCCGGCAGATGAGCAAGGTTGCCGATCCTCCCCCTTGGTGGCTCTGCCTGGCGCTCCTGAAGAGCAAGTCTCATGGGTTGGTGGGAAAGTGGACATGAGTGGACCAAGGGTGGGCTCCAGGACTTGGACAGCCGCCTGACACTTCCTGCCTCCCACACCCTCAGGTGTCCAGAAGGATGAGGTCCTCCTTGAGGTCTTTCGGGCCGCCTGTGAGCCGGGACCGTGTCATTGACAGCTTCCCTAAGGTAGAGAACCTCTGTGTAGGAGGTGACTTGCCTACACATATGATGGCACAGTGGAAGGAAATTGATGCTGCTCAGCCACGCCCATGGGACTAGGGTTACACTGATGTGATCCTTGGGCTCTCATTGGCCAGTTTTCAGAAGTAACTCTTCAGTCTTCCAGGAAACTCAGTCTGTTCAGCATTTTATCATAATGGAAGTGTCCCTGAAAGATGCATGAGTGGGTGGTAGCCTTGTGGGATGTGCACTGGCTGGACTTGAACCTGGGTTTCCTATGTGGAAAGCAGGAATTCTAACCTCATAGAGACTCTAGGCCAGGCCGTTATCTCCTTACTCTGTGGACACTCTGCCAGTGCCACCTTTAGCAGATAAGGCAGGTGTCCCTCATTGGGCACCTTTAGTCCACTGAGCAACACTCAGATTAGCAAAGACTGCAGAGGCCTGAGACACCTCAGAAAGAAGGTCTGGAGATTTGCCTTCCAAACCCAGCCATCGAGTACTCTATGTGGCACAGGTATCCACAGTCTTCATGAGCCTGGCTTGGTACCAGGGCACCTGCTTTTGACCCTAATTCCTCGTGGACTAACCCAGAGGTTACTGAACATCATTAGAAACAGGAGGTGTGACAGGTACATGGCAGTCAGCAGGTTAATGGCATCAGGCAGTCCTAGGTGTGAACCCTGGCCCCACACACACAGAGCTTGGTGACTGGACAGTCCTTTTAACCACTCAGAGCTTCAGCCACCAGAACGTAGCGCCCCTCACATCATTGCATGTGTCATGGGCTCTGCCAGTACTTAACAGCATTTGTCATGGCTGTCCTCATGTGTTACTACTTTTGCCTCCTGGTAGCTCAGCTATATGCGTCGATATATTTGCAGCACACCAGGGGTGGGCACGGACGTGGCCTTCACAGCACATCCTCCCATGCTCCTTCGCTGGTCTTGGACCAGCTGGCCGTAAAGTGAAAGGTCATTAGTGTATTCAGCATCCTTTTTCTAATAATATGTTGCTGCTGTTGTTGTGTACCATGGAGTTGGAACCAGTCCATAGCTGGCCCTCTAGTGGGTTTTCAGAGGCAGTAAATCATATGAGAGGAGATTGCTCATCCTCCAGCAGAGCAACTGGTGCATTCAAACCTCGTGCCTTTGGGTTGACAGCACAGCTCTTTACCTCTAGGTCACCAGAGCTCTCTTTTCTAACAATAAGCTGGTATCTGTTCAGGTGACTTGATAGACTTACATTGTACTTCAGGTGCTGATGGCTCTGCCCTCATATCTCAGGGGTCTGCAGGGACCCAGAAGACATAGTTTGGGGGCGGGGGAAGAGTGCTATCCACTCTGCGTACTGCACCATGTGGAGGATGCAGCAGGGTTGAGCAGGACCTCCCTAGCCACGTCTGTATAGACCAGGTGCCATCACATGAACTGGCTCATCCCCCTTCTAGGTCTTTGAGGGCTGTGTTTTGGGAGGAGATCACCAGCCCTTTTTGGAGGTGCCCAGCCCTGCCTGCAGGCACCCTCAGGGACACTGTGCACATGTGCCTTTCAAACATGTGTACTTTCAAACACAGATGGCATCCAGGGCATGATGGGTGTGAGGCTTGGTCCTTGAGACCTTGCTCCCCCAAGTGGTCAGCTGTGTCAGAGAGACAGCCACCTCAGTGGACCAGCCACAGGCCCCTGCCCCTGCCCCTGCTCTCTGCCTAGCTGGCTCCTCTTCAAACTACTGAGACCCTGGAGTCTCAAAGCCATTCTCAGGATGGAGTTGAATATGGCTGGTATCTTGGGGACAGCATTACAGATCCGGGGGCACGGGCCACACACAGTCAACAGAGGTTCCGGAGGGAGGATGGATGGACTTGCTTGCAGATTCCCTGGTTCATGGACAATGCATCACCCGCTTGTCTGTCTCTGGCCAGTGGTACACACCAGCTGCCTGCCTGCAGCACAAGGAACATTTCCATGGACGGGTCAGCGCAGCTTGTGACCGCGGGGACACAGGGACAGTCGGGTGAGTGCTGAGAAACCACAGGCAGAGTGGGTGGTGTGCATGCATGAGTGAACGAGGACACACAGCCCCCCTCACACACACAGAAGAGACTGCCGACCCTGGGAATGACAGGCATAGCTGCTACATGGGGTGCCAGGTTCTCTCTTTTGAGGGTATTTGCTGGCCCAGGTGCTAGACCTCAGCACATGTTCTTTCCCTGTCCTTATGTCCCCTACATACCGCAGGGACACCTTAAAGTCTCCCCTTAAAGTCTCGGCATAGATGTTGCAGTTACAAGCATCCCCATGTCCTCCTGACCCCGAGCACCTGGCTGCTAAAGTCTGTGTCTCCTGAACCCACAGCCCTCCTGTGCCGACCAGGCATGGGCCTGAGGAGCCCACTGGGGTCACCTCAGTGTGGACACCCAGTTCTCCCCACCGCCTTAGAGGCTGCCCAGGTGAGGACAATGGGTGTGTCCTATCTCCTCACGCCACACAGCTGGGAAGAAAGGACCCTGAGCCTGGGGCAGGGATCTCGGCCACAGCCCTCCCTAGTACCTCCATGCCTTCCACTGTGAGATATACCATGGTGGGCTTGGCCACTCACAGACTCTCACCTAGTGGGACCCCTCTGTCAGCAAGAGGGGTAGCTGGCCAGGACAGATGCAGCCCCCCATGGGGTCAGGGTGGACACAGCACCTCACCCGGTCATGGGGTCACAGTGGACATGAACATTCACAGCCCCCTCACCCAGGACATGATGTCAGAGAGACACGGCCCCTTATCCAGGACATGGGGTCATGGTGAACATGGTCCCTCATCCGGGATGTGGGGTCTGGGTGGTCACAGTCCCTCATCCAGGACATGGGGTCATAGTAGACATGGCCTCTTACCTGGGATGTGGGGTCAAAGTGGACACAGTCCTCTCACCTGGGATGTGGGGTCAGAACAGACATAGTCCCTCCCCTGGGACACAGGATTAGGGTGGACATGGCCCTCAACTGGAATGTGGGCTCAGACTGGAGACAGCACTTCATCTGGGGTTAGAAGAGATTCAGTACGGCCTTATACCCTGTCCACCCATAACCCACATGATTGTTCTGGTTACTGCACCCGCTATACTCTCCCAGTGTGTGCATCTCCTGGAACAAGGCTTTGGACAGCTGGGGCAGGACACACAGCACTGATATAGCTGGACATGCTATGGCTCTTGGTGACCACAGGACTGGGACAGCAGCCTCTTGCCCAGGGCTCAAGACAGGGGCTAGAGTCTGGCTGGGGTCCAGTACAACCCCAGGACCAGCTAGCATCTGCTGTCCTGCCTGTGGCCGGACCAAGCTGATTACCCCTGCACAGCCAGAGCGTAAGCAGGATGCCCTATTCCAGCTGAGCGCATGTGTCCTTCCAGCCTTAGGCTCTCCAAGGTGGTGGTCGTGGGGGACCTCTATGTTGGGAAGACCAGCCTCATCCACAGGTATGGCCAGAGTCCTCTGCCCCTTACCTCCGCCTGGCTGACCACTCTCCTGTGTGGCAGCACCCCTAGGTGGAATCAGGGGGTCCTCGGAGGCTGGTACGCTGTGTCCAGCACCCAGGGACTGCATCACCTCCCATCGGCCCCTGCCACCACCCTGCCCTCGGGGCCTCAAACCTCCCTCACAGTGCATCCTCACCACCACCACCGACCTTCCAGCCCCCCTCACACCCTCTCCCTACCCCTCCACCTTGAGGGTCATCCAGTCCCCCTCACACCTCAGCCCTGGACTCCCACCACTACCCTGACCTTGGGGGCCTCAACCCTCCCTCCTCCCCACCTTCAGGGCCTTCACACCCCAGCGCTGGCCCTACATTCTTAGGCCCTTGAACTCCCCTCACACCCAGCCCTGGACCCCCACCACTACCCTGCCCTTGGAGGCCTCAAACTCTCATCCCCCTGTGCCCTCAGACTCTCTCCCCATCCACTCTTTCAGGCGGGCACACTCCTGTCCAGCTTCAGTGTCTCCTCTTCCATCTCTAGCCCCTCATGCTCTTGCCTTCAGGCTGCACAACTCCCCCTCCCCCACGCCAGCTCTGCTCTCCCACAGGCGGACTGGTCCTGCCTCCCTTACAAAATCGTCCTGTCCTCTCCTTCTCCTCCCTGTTAGCTCACTTTCTCCCATACACTTCCCTGACCAGTCCTGTGGGCTACTTCTGACTTCTGCTTCTCACAGGTTCTGTAAGAATGTTTTTGACCGTGACTACAAGGCCACTATTGGGGTCGACTTCGAGATTGAGCGCTTCGAGATTGCAGGGGTACCCTACAGCCTCCAGATGTGAGTGTGTCTGTTTCTCCTGGGGGCATGGGTCCTGAAATCACCTCTCCTCTAGCGGGACCAGGTCACAAGACAGGCCGCCCTCACCCCTGAGCAGGACTGTGAGGCTGTCCACTCTGAGGACAACACCCACAACCTGATAGCCCCTCTACATATGCTGGGTGGACATGCCTCACCCTCATATAGGCTCAAGACCCTCCCCCATTTCTCTCACAACAGTTCTTCCACCTGACCTCTCCCTTTTCAGGGAGACTCAGCTGGACTCTGGGATCATCTTGTTTAGCTTGAGACCCCGACCCACTTTCCTACTCAGGGCTTCAACCCCCACGTCCGCCCTCACCACTCTGGCCTGGGCCAGACGATAGGGTCATCTTCTGCCGTAGTGAGGTGGCAGGGCCAGAACAGAGCAGGACTGGCTGTGGAGACATGCACTGATGGTGCTGGGGCCTGAAGGCAGGTCATCAGCTGAGAGAGGACTCCAGCTCAGGAGCCGGCTAGTTAAACACCCCATGACACCATGGGCTGCGCCTGGCTCAGCCTCACATTGCTGGGTTGCCCCAGGTCACCCATGGCTTTCTGATCACCCTTACAGCTGATTTATGAAAGCAAACCACGGAGTCTCCATGTCAGGATAGGTCACTGGACCGACTTCAGACCCATGGTGTCTCTCATTCCTCTGTGAGCTAGGTCTGGCCTGAGCTGCTCTGCTTTAAGGGGGGAGTGATGCCCTAACCCACCCTGTGTGTAATGCCCTATTCATAGCAGACAAGGCCGATCTGAATGAGTTGGCAGCACTTGCATAGGGTTAGGAGACTATATGCCTTCAGGGTACATTGTACAGGCCACAAAGGCCTGCTTCATGCTGGCATTGCATCCTGTGGTAATGAGAAGGGTCATGAGTGGTCATGTGGTCATGAGTTTTCCAGACTCCACCCCGTGAGCTTGGGCACCTGCCCCATTCTCAGCCAGGTGCCTTGTACTGCCTTCCGCCAGCCTGTGGCAAATGTTACACATGGATTGCTGTGTCCTCCCCCAAGCCACACTTTGGCTTGCCCAAGGCCATGTCTTATCTTCCCCCAGGGCCACACTGCGTTCTCTCCCTCGTCCTCCCCAGGCCTGCCCTGTGTTCTCTCCTGGAGCTACACTGCAGTTCACCCCTGAGCCCTCAGCACTCTCTCCAGGAGCCAAAGCTGACCAGGCAGACACTATTAAGACGCACCCCTGGGGATAAGCGTCCCCTCAGCCACAATGTCCAAGGTAGAACACCCAGTCACTCAAGAACAGTTAGACCTCCCAGGAGGCATCCCTGGGCATAGCTTGTCCACAGGCTCCACTGTGGGTGTCTCTTCCTCTGCAGGGTGAATGGCATCTGAGAATGTCCTCTCTTAAGTGGTGCCACATTCACCTGGACAGCGTCCCAGCACAGATCCCTGTGGGCCTCCCTGGCAGGAGTTGGAGTACTGGCTCATGGCCTTTCTGCCCACATGGCCTCTCTGCCCACCATAGCCTCCCTGTCCACATGGTCTCCCTACCCCAATGGCTGGGCCCCACCAGGTGTCTAACTGTGTTCTTTTCCTTTGCAACCTCACAGCTGGGACACGGCCGGACAGGAGAAGTTCAAGTGTATTGCATCTGCCTACTACCGGGGAGCCCAGGGTGAGGACGCAGGGGCTCCTGACAGCCACTGCCTTTTGCTAAGACCTGAGGGATGGCATCTGAACAGTGCTGGGGGACCCTCAACCCATGACCTGAGGGGCTAGGGCTGGAGCTGCTGCTCTTTGAGTCCTCAGCTCGGAGGGATAGAGGCCAGTGGCTCAGCCAGGGAGGAGAGCTAGCTCAGAGAGGAGGCAGGGACAGCTGACCCTTCTCAGCAGGCCGTGGGCTGGGCTTCACCACCCAGACCATAGGAGTGGTGACTGGGGACTGGGAGGACATGTAGCCCAGATGAGCCCCTCAGGCCTTCTCCCCAGTGAGGAGGCAGGGATGGATTTGGGGGGGGACGTGAGGGAAGCCACACTGCAGTCATGGGGACAGCGTGTCACCATCTGCTGCTCTGTGTGTGACTGAAGGTCATGCTCCTGACCATGTCATCCTCACAGGCATGCCCTGCTGGTGCCCGCTGCGGGAAGAGGGTCTCCACCACACTCACTGACCCTCTAACCAGAGCTCCTTCCTCAGGGCCTGGTCCCTCCTGACCACACGTAAAGCATGTGATACAGAAAGCCACCCTCCTGCCTTCTCGGCAGCTCTCCGCCTGCACTGCTTCCAAAACAAATTTATCTTTCCTTCTAGCAGTCATGGAACTATTCATCAGCCGTCATGGCACAGTGAGCAGTCATGGCACAGTCGGCAGCTGTGGCACAGTCAGCACTTGTACTGTCAGCAGTCGTCGTACAGTCAGCAGCCATACTGTCAGCCATCGTGGTACAGTCAGTAGTCGTGCAGTTGGCAGCCAAGGTGCAGTCAGCAGTCGTGGCACAGCTGGGAATTGTACAGTCAGAAGGCATGTAGTCAGCAGATGGACAGTCTACACACATAAAGGCAGCAGTTGAATAGTCAGCAGACGTAGTACAGTCAGCAGACAGACATTCAGCAGTGGTGGTTACAGTCAGCAGACGTGGTCCAGTTAGCATGGTATAGTCAGCAGCTGTATAGTCGGCAGCCGTGGTACAGTTTGCAGTTGTATTGTCAGCAGCCGTGGTAGTCGGCAGTTGTATTGTCAGCAGTCATAATACAATCAGTAGACATGGCACAGTCAGCAGTCATAGTCGGCAGTTGTGGCACCATCCGCAGACATGGCACGCACAGTCTGCAGACTGGTACAGTCAGCAGACCTCAGCAGTGTCATTGATGTCATTGTCAGAGGTATTTGGGGCTCCTTATCTGCTGACTTTTGTACACATACGTTGTTGTTAGGAGCTCTGGTGGCTTAGTGGTAAGGAGCTGTGCTGCTAACCCAAAAGCACAGAGTTTGAATCCACAAGCTATTGTGGAGGAGGGAAAGTGGACAATCTCTTTCCCATGCAATTTACTGCCTCTGAAAACCTGCTGGAGGGTCAGCTGTGGGTCACTTCTGACTTGACAGCACACGGCAACAGATGGGAACTTCTGTGAACAACAGACCTGAACCCTTTCCTTTCCTGTGCCCTGTCCCATCCTTGACTGAAGCTGTATGCTCAAGTATGTCACGTGCATATGAGGCAGTGGCTTTGTCCTCACAGTGACATCTTTAAGGAGTTTTGGCCAGTGTAGTGTGTTTTGTGTTATGTTGACTTCCTGATTCCCTCAGTGTTGAGTGTGGACCATGGCAGAGTTAAATCCTTACCACCTGTGTCTTTCCTCACGCTATTGCCATGATGTTGGGACAGGCTGTTCTCCTGTGGAACCACAGCCTTCTTGGGGACTCAAGATGGAAACAGGGCATGCTGTGAGCCTGCCCCTGGCTGCAGTTTCTGTGCCCCGGACGACCCCCCCCAGGGTCTTCTCAGAGGAACACGTGCATTGCAAATGCAGCAGGCTCCCAGCACCATCCTTCCCAGCCCTGGTGGTTCTGGGGACAGCTGGGTCCTCCATCGCACACCCTAGAAGCAGAAGAGAGGACAGCTGTGCCAACAGTGTGGTCTGTGAGAAGACTGTCCTAGAGTAATACCTCCCTGCTATGCCCTCAACACCGTGGACCAGGCAAGTTAGTGGTAGGAGCTAGGAGTCCTCAGACCGTTCCCATAGCAACAGTGGCTGCTTAAGGAGCGAGCTGCCTCCTACCAGGCACCCCACTGAGGATGGCCCCATGGAGCCCTGCCAGCGGCCTGGGTGCTTGTGCACTGAGGTCACTCACAGGGACACCAAGTTCTGGGAGTGAGACTGGGGCCGAGCTGATGCGTGCGTCCTGCTCTGGAATCCCGTGCGCCTGGGCGCTGGCTCAGCAGATGAAGCAAGGCTTCCAGCAAAAGCTATGGCTCAACCCCACAGGCTGCTCTAGAGGAGAACAAAGGGGTCTGTTCCCACAGAGTTCAGCCTGGGAACCCCATGGGCAGGGCTGTGGAGTCCTGCAGGGTCACGGAGATTTGGACCCTCCTCAGTGTGGCAGAGTGGACACCTGTGTGGGTCACCAGGGACCGGCAGTGGGCGCAAGCAGGCCTCCTGCCCTCACAAGCCCGTTTCCCCCACAGCAATCATCACGACCTTTGACCTTTCTGATGTACAGACCCTGGAGCACACCAGGCAAGTCCAGTACACAGGCTTCCACAGTTCCATCCCCAGACCTAGGCAACTAGCATAGCCACACCTAACCCGGCCTGAGGGCAAGGCAGTTGAACTCCATGTCCATGGGCATCATAGTCCAGGTGGCCTTATTATACCCTAAGACCTACACTGACCTCCCTCAAAGACAGGACAGTGCACGATGTACAGCTGGTTACAGGCCGCAGCGTCTCACTTCTCTGACCAGTACACATCCACCTGTCCAGCCCCGACCCAAGGCTCAGGCCAGCCGCTCAGCAGCCCCCTCCCCCAGGCACTCCTCTGCCCCTCTCATCCCTTCTTTTTGCTGCTGGATGCCCTTGGGTGTGTCTCACTGTCTCCTCTGTGGTCAGGCAGTGGCTAGAGGATGCACTGCGGGAGAACGAGCCGGGCTGTAGTGCCGTCTTCCTGGTGGGGACCAAGAAGGACCTTCTGGTAAGCAGAGGATGCTTACCACTGGGCATGCCTCCCTCCACTCTCCATCGACTTGGGGCTGCCCCAGGTCAGGGGAACAAGGTGGGAAATTGGGGTCTCTCTGTGCAGAGGGGCTGACAGGGTGGTGAGCAGATAGTGTGGGGAATGGGGTCTCTCTATGCCCTGAGGCTGAGGAGGCAGTGGGGAATGGTGGGGAGATTGGTCTCCCTGTGCACTGGGGCTGAATGGGTGTAGGGCGAATGGTGTAGGGATTGGGGTCTTCTGCCCTTTGATTTCCCTTTGTGCTAAGGCTAACCAGGTCATGGGTAGACAGTGAAGGAATTGGGGTCACCTGCCCTGGAGTCTCCCTCTGTGCCAGGGCTGACTAGGGTCATAGGCAGATGGTGGGAGGATTTAGGTCAGCTCCGCTGGGGTCTCCTTCAGCATTGAGGCTGCCCTGGGTTGGGCAAGGTTGTGGCAGAATGGGGGTTACATGTCTTGGGGTCTCCCACTGCATCAATATGGGGCAGGGATGATAGTGGGGATATTGGGATCATCTACCCTGGGGTCTCCCTCTGCGCTGGGACTTACCAGTGAGGGGAATGGAGTCACCTGCCCTGCTGGGACTGACCAGGGGTTGTGGGCAGATGGTGGGGGGTTGAGGTCACCTGCCCTGGGGTCTCCCTACAGGAGGCCCACAGAGCTAGTCATGGAGGCCCTTCTCCCAGTCAGGGGCAGCATGTGAGCAGGTAGAATTGGAGGCTGTACGCCTGGCCAATGTGATGCAGGCCGAATACTGGGCAGTGTCATCCAAGACCGGTGAGTGGGGGTGGCTGCCACACTGGAGTGGTGTCCGTGGCTGCTGGGAGCCTTGCAGCCATCCAGCCAGGAGCAGGCTCCTCCCCTGGGCCTCCCCACCTGCCTGGCCCTGGAGCCTGGTTCACCTATCTGCAGACCCTCGTCACTTGTGGTTCGATGTGACTTGCTGGGTGACTGACAGGGCCTCTTATCCCCTCCCCTGGGTGACTGAAGGTCCTCCTGGCCCCTGCCTGGGGTGTATGATGGGTCCCCCGGCCTCTTCACCTGGTGACTGATGGGTGCCCCACTCCCCTCCCCTGGGTAACTGATGGGTGCTCCTGTCCCCTCCTCTAGATGACTGATGTATCTATCTTCCAGGCTCCTTCCGTAGGACACTGTGGACTGACAGCGCAGCCGTGTGCAGTTGCACGGGTTGCCTGCTGAGCTGGAACAAGCCCTTTGCCTGAGGGCAGCCAGCTCCGCCCTCTGTCCACACAGTCCACAGTGTCCCTGGTCCAGCCCCTGGCAGGCGCTGGATGAGCAGTCTGGGAGCTGTGATCTCAGAGCCTGTGTCCAGTGGGCCAGGGTGGATGGAGGGGGCTGCCTGCAGGGGGCGCCCCCTGCTAGGTTTCCTCCTTGTAGAACTTCCTGGTGTGTGCCCTGGGGCCACCACCATAAGCACCCCAATCCTCAGCGGGGGCCCAGGCTGTCAGGCTCCACAGGGAGAATGTGACCTCAGGGAAGGAGGGCAGTTAGGGTGTTTCTCCACAAGGAGAACATGACCTCTGTGGACCGTGACCTCAGAGGGACACAGGGCAGTCAGGGCCTCTCTCCATGGGGAGAACGTGACCTCTGGAGGACAGAGGGCAGTCACTGCGTCTCACGGCCTCTGTCCACAGGGGAGAATGTGAAGGCCCTGTTTAGCCGTGTGGCTGCCCTGGCCTTCGAGCAGTCAGTCCTGCAGGAGCTGGACAGGAGGAGCAGTGCCCGGCTCCAGGTCGGCGACGCAGGCCTCATCCGTACGTCCTGCCCAGTGCCACACCCCACCTTCACCGCCTGGGGTCCTCCCTGACAACCTGCCCTGCCTCGGCCTCCTCACCCCATTGCCTTCACAACACCGCCCCGACCCCTGTTCTAGACTCCTGCCTGTGTTCCCTCCATTCCTACTGGGGAGTAACCACAGTGACCACTTCAACCCTCATGCTCCCCAACCCTCTACACCTGCCTGGCCCCTCCACATGACTGGCTCACTCATACCTGCTGGTACCCCCCACCTCCCTGGCCTCTCCATAGCTCCCCATCTGTACAGCCCCTCATACCTCCCTGGCCCCACCACAACTTCCTGGCTCCCTGATACCTGCCCACATCCCCCACCTCCCCAGAGCCACAGCTCCCCCCACCCTCCCCACCTGCACAGCACCCTCTCCAGCTTCCCACCTCCAGCCCCATCCACCTCCCCAGGCTCCCCCGACACTTCCCCAACCTCCCATACTTCTCAGCCCCCACAACTCCCCATTCCCCCTATAGGCCCCCCCATACCTCTCTTTCCCCCCTATAAATCCCTGACACTCCTTACTTCCCCAAGTCCCCACAGCTACCAGCCATCCACACCTGCCTAGTCACTCCATACCTCCCCAGCCCCCCTCGACCTCCCTGGCTCCTGGAACCCCCCCCCCAGCCACTCCACACATTTCCAAACCCCCTAAACTGCCTGTACTATACACCTTCCTAGCTCCCACACAGCTCTGGCCCTCTGACACCACCTCTGACTCACACCCTTCCTGTCCCTCCCTTCTCCCTGGCTTCCCAATACCTCCCCAGCCTCCCCTGCCCCCCCCCCCATCAGCCCTCCAAGCTCCAGCATCCTGCCTTGCCCACTTGATTCTGCTCTAGAGTGACCAGAGGGCCTAGTATCCACTGCAGGGAGCTCAGCGAATGCCTTGTGTCTCTCCCCACCTTACAGGAATAGAGGGGATCCCGCCTGAGGTGCAGGAACAGGGAAGGCCCCCCAGCCTGGGCTGCTGCTAGAGACCCTATGCGACACCCACACAGGAAGGACTGCAGTGCTCATCGACCAGGACCTCGGGGGTCTGCGTGGACCATCTGCCCCCATGCTGTAGAGGACCGCAGCACTCGTCGCCCGGAATCCCAGGCTCTGTGTTAGCTCCTCATCACCACTGCCGAGCCTGAGTCGCTGCCACTCCAGAGCCCATGGAGCCACATAGGGTCATTGGACAGGCCCATGAGCTCGTCACGTGCATAGGTCCAGCTCCAGGACGCACCTGTGGAACTCCACCTCAGAGCTTGGGGTGGGGCACAGGGCACCAGCCCTGCCCCAGCAGAAGGTGGACCTGCAAGGCTCCTGGCCCTTCTGGGGCTGGACATGAGCCACACAGCCCAGTGGCCTGCAAAGCCTCTGCAGCTGTGGTCCCAGCTCCTGTGTGGCCCTGACCCCTGCAGCCCATCTGATCCTCCCTCACTGGAGCCGCTTCCCACCTGGTCCTCCCTGCTGCCCTCCTGTGCCCTGAGATGCAGCCAGCAGGGCTAGGCAGTGCACAGCAGAGGCATGTCCTCTGAACCCTCTAGTCCACTTCCCCCTGCATAACTGGGATGGGTCGCTGGCCAGCACCCAAGTATCTGCCAGAGTGCCTTTTGCCCACATCTGTGCTCCTGATCCATCCTGTGAGCTGCCAGCATTTGCCCACCTGCCCTCCTTGGCCAGGCACGGGGGTCCAGCGTGTGTCCCTGACCTCTGCTGTAGATGCCATGGTTGCTGTAGTCAGCTGTGTGGGCAGTGTGTTCTGGTGCCCATAAACACACAGTGACTGGGTCTCATGGCCACTTTTCACTGCTCTTTGGTCTCTATTTTTAAAATTCCTTGAGTTTTTGGGGGAAGTGTTTTGGTTTTAGTTCGCTTTTGTTTTTAAAGTTCCTGGGTGATGCAGATGGGTGGTGTACTTGGCCCCAAACCATGAGGCCTTAGAGTCTAGCCAGAGGCAACGTATTTCAGAACCCCGCCGTGAGCACCGTGCATCCAGGTCTACTCCATGGTGAGACACACTTCCGAGAACTGCAGGTTCGCTGCACGCATGCATGCTGTCCTCTGGCCACCTCCAGCCAGGGCAATGTCTGGACCACACACCCCCTATGCAGCTGCAGTGTGTCTGGTGTGGCTGTGTCCATGGCCTTGTGCTGCCCACACCAGCGGCTTTCTGTAAGACTGGACCATGCTGAGCGTCCTCTTCCTTTGTGTGTTTGGACCTTGGTTCACTCTGCTGGTCTAATACAGAGCCCTGGGTGGACCCAGCAGTCAGCTGTCGTGCGTTAACTGCAGAGGCACATTTGAGACCATGTGCGAGGGGCTGAGTGGCTGTCCTGGGCATGCCCGTGCATGGTTCTGGACCAAGTTTGCTTTGGACTCCATGCTGTTATGCTGTTCTAGTTCCTTTTGAGGGGTGGTGGCCATTTGGGTGTTGGTGTTGGGCCTGGGCAGAGGCTGAGCTTTGCAGGCTGACCATAGAAGGAACATGGTGACATCCTCCCCACCTTCCACCATCACAGAGTTAACATGGTGCCCATCCTCCCCATGCTCCACCACTAAGGAGGGAACACGGTGCCCCATCCTCCCACCCTCCACCATCACAGAGGGAGCACGGTGCCGCGTCCTCCCCACACTCCACCATCACAGAGGGAGCACGGTGACCATCCTCCCCACCCTCTACCTTCACAGAGGGAGCACGGTGCCCGTCCTCCCACACTCCAC